GTGAGTGGCTCCTAAGGGACCTGCAGGCACTTTAGGGTGACAACCAGAATCTGAGCAAGCTGTGGGGCTGTCATGGATGGGGATTTTGGGGTTTGGCTCGCTCTGGGGCTGGAGAGAGCTATGGAGGGGGCAGGCATGTTCCCTGCCTTCATTAAAATCGGAGGCTTTAGCGCAGCTCTGCTGCTGGGCTGCTAAGTCAGGGCTTCACGCTTTCTAATTTTTTCTTTTGTCTTGCATACACACACGAGACAGATTTTGCTCTCACAAGGGATATTTATAGGACATATGTTGGAGCTTGAAGAAGCTGATTAGCGATGTTTAGCTTGAAAAACGGAAGAAACTGCATGAGAGCAGCCTGGCCAGACAAATACTACAGAAGATGTGAGCTTTGGGGAGCAGGTCTGTGAGAGACTGACATGTGCAAGGTTATGGACTCAAAGAACCATTTCCAAAGCATCAGGGGCCAGGTTTGCAGCCCAAATGGAAGAAGGGAAGGTTTTGGGGGTGTGGTAGCTAAACTTCTGATTTGTGATATTTTTGGGGTCCCCCGTTGTGGGGAGGAGAGATGAATTTGACTCCATGTTCTTAGAAGGTTAATTTATTGTATATTATATTATATTATATTATATTATATTATATTATTTATATTCTATTCTATTCTATTCTACTAAAGCTATACTAAAGAATAGAGAAAGGATACTCACAGAAGGATTAACAAGATATTTATTAAAAACTCTGACTCTTTCTTTAGTCCGACACAGCCTGACTGTGATTGGTCACTAAGTCAAAACAATTCACATGTTGGACAAACAATCTCCAAACCACATGAAAAAACCGCTGGTCATTTAATGTCCTTTCACTCTGATTTGCCCCAAGGGGTCTACTAACAACAACCTCAGCTCATTTTCAGCTCCCTCCCTCCCTCACTTGGCCCCAGGAGTGTCTGAGACCACTGGGCTCCTGGAGCTGGGGGTGTGAGGTGGGCTCTGCCTCCTCTCCTTGGGGAAGGACTCTGGGGACAGAGCACACCTTGCTGGAAAAGTGGGCTGTGCCTGCACAGCTGGCTGACCCCTCCAAGCAGGCAGACCCCACAGCTGGGAGGCTTTGGGGGTTTGGATGACTCCTCTGGGCTTGCAGAATGGACCCACAAAATGCCATCCAGCTTTTCCCCATCTCTGCCCTCCCTCCCTCTCTCCTGCCTCTTGATTCTCTTTCTGTGGGTCCAGCCTGCCAGGTTGGAGCTCTGCCTTGCCAGACAATGTGGTTCAGATCATTAGAGGAGTTTGGGGCTGTGGGGGATGCTTTCTGAAGGGAATGCAAGTCTCAAGAGAGCTGCTCAGTGTACACAATCCCCGGGGTGCTTTCCAGAATCCTATTCCCTGTCAGCACTGGTCTGAAGAACGAAAGGACGGCACTACAAGGAGGCAGAAATTGCATTATGCTCCTCTGTGCTTCACAAGCTCCAAGTAACACTTCTGCTTCTCCCGTATGAAAAGGAAAATGGGTAATGACAACCTACTTCTACTGAAGAGACAATTTTCACTCCTCCTTGGCAAGTGTAGCTGGGACAGTGCCTTTCTCTCCACTCAGAGGCAAATTAACAGATTTTGCCTCAGAACACGGTGGATGAAGTGCAGCTGGCAGCATTTCCCTGCTGTGGTTCACAGCACCCTTGGGGTGCCCACACCTGGCCCAGCTCACAGTGGGTGAACACACGGGGGCTGTAATGGATAATCTGGGAAGTGCAGACCCCATTGAAGGGAAAAAACCCTCTTTTCTCCCCAAACACAGCCTCTGTGCACCACAGCCCAGCAGCCAGCGCCTGCAGCTTTGCGCCAGCATCAGGAACTTTTACTCTCCCGGCGCGATGACTCTGAGAAGAACAAGTTAGACAAATGAATTCGCTAATGACTTCCTTCCCTCCTCCTTCAACGGGGGGATAATTCACGGTTCCTGCTCCCGCAGCGGGGCTGCTCCATCGCCTGCCCGCGGCAGGCTGAGGAGATGAGTGAGACAAAGGGGGCCGAGATTGCCGGGTGGCACCGCCCGCCTTTTCAAACACCACAAAAACACAAAAACGCTGTGCTGGCTGCTCTGGGGAGGCACGGAGGGAGTGCTGCACGTGTGGCTGGGCCGGCGACAGGCAGGGCTCTCCAGAGTGATGCACACACTCTGCCCAGGCATCTCCTTCCCTCTGAGGTTTCTGCTCCAAGCATCCCAAACCAGCCCTGAACCCAAACTAGCCCTGAACCGAAATAATTGCCTGCATTGAAAAGCTATGCCTGCACACCTGCTTTTGGTACTGTCGAAAACCTCAGCTCTCCTTTGATCTCTTTTGTTTCTGGAAGCTTCTGGCTGGTGGTGATGCAATGTAGAATTGAGGCCAGAAGCTTGAGAAGAGGTTCAGGGCCAGAGGAAGGCTGATGATGAGGGCATGGAGCCTTTCCATGCTTGCAGTCACTTGCCTGACCAAGGTATACAGATTATAGCAGATATTTATAGCAAAAAATTCAGCCCTATTTTTTATAGCAAAAAAACCTCAACCCTGGCACTGCCAGGCCCCAGATCCCCAGCATGGTCCTCCCTGCAATCGCCCCTTAGCTCCACACACTTGGCACAAATGGAGAAATAATATTTTTTTTAAGTGAGGCTGAGTTAAGAGGATTTGTTTGAGATACAAGATAGCTCCCATTAACGTTTGCTTGTTTGGGTTTATTTAAGCCTTAATTGAGTGTCTTTTACTTAACTGCGTTCCAGTATCTCTCTCAGCCTCTTAAGAAACAATCACATGCTCTTCCCTTCTTCTCTCTCAAGATCTTTCATGTTAGTGAGCTGGGTTTAATGGCTGATAAAGTCCATGGGCTTGCAATAAAGCTGAGCTTTCTTTCAAGTCCCTGCACACGCAGCACCAGGAAGGTGTGCCCAGGTCAGCCCTGGGTTTTGTTACCTCTCTGTGGCAAAGCTGCCTTAATCAGCAGCTGTGAGCATTGTGATCATGGGATTTTTTGTCATGAACACCCTGGGGCTCGAGGCTCCTTCCCTCCCAGAGGCAGATTTGACAGAGCCACAGCCAGTTTGTAACTGGTCTGGCTCCAGGAGGTGAGGAGTGGACAGTGGCACCACTGAGGGTGGGATTCAGTGATGGCTGTGAGGGAACCAAGCCCTAACCACCCCAACAGACAGCGATCGTGCTTAGTGAAAACCAAACACAGCCTGGCCATTATTTAGGTATTTTTGTTGGTTCTGTCTGGGCTGGGATGGGAGATGTTTGTTCCCCAGGCAGCTGCCACCTCCCAGCATAAGATGGTCCACAGCTCAGCCCCTGGCATTTCATCCTTCCCACATGAGGCTCCTTCTGACCAAGAGGAACGTGGGGGTTTGGATGCTGAACTACAGCACCTCCAGCAGCAGCTGGAGCCGATCCAGTGGGAGCACACGTGAGCAGCCGGGGCTGGCAAGGTGTCCAAGGGACGGTGCTGACCTTCCATCCAGCTGCCCTGCTCACAGGAAGATTTTCTCTCTGAGGAGTAAGTTTCTCTGGAGGCAAAAAAGAAACCCGGTGAGTCAGAAAGGCAGCAGAGACTCATCTTTACACAAGCCTTGCTTTCTGCTGTGGCTATTCAGAGCAGAGCTGTGGTCTCTGGTGTTCCCCTTCCCTGCAGGTGGTTTGTCCCTGTGAAGAGACACCCCAGCTCTGTGCATCACCGTTCTGCTCCTTTCTCGTAGCCAGGAGCAGATTTGAAGAATCTATCCCCAAATGCATACCAAAACTTATTTTATTGCAGCAGCTGAACAGAAAAGCAGCTCAGCTTTTGAGAGACACACTTTTCTTACAGTACAGCAGGAATAATGTCGCTCCTTACTGGCAGCACCCCCGGAAAGAGAGAAAAAACGCATCAGGCTCTGATGAAACACCTCCCAAAATAACCAGCGCCTCTCCCCGCTCGCTCCCCTTTTGTGCTCGGCTGTCTTTGGGCGAGCATGGAGCACGAAAGGCACTTCCAGCCGAAGGGAATTCGGTGGTGCGGGGGCCCGAGGCGGCGGTGGCGGATCCGCGCTCCCGCTGGCCCGGCATTGTACCTGCGGGCCAGCTGTGCAGCTCGGGATGGAAACTCTCCCAGGGCTGGCTTGGGAGCGGGATGCCCGCTCCGGGAGCAGGATGCCCGCTCTGCCGGCTGGTGGAGCCCGCTGCAGAAACAGCCGGGCCCGCTCCACCGGCCAGCGGGCCGGGGCTCCCGAACTGCGGGGGGACCCCTCGCCCTACCCGCAAAGCACGGACCAAACCCGCACTCCCCTGCTGCCCGCGGGGCCGGGACGGGCTGTACGGGACACCGGGGCTCCGCGCGGCCACACCACGCTTCCGGGGCGCGGAGCCGCTGGGCCAGTGCCCACATGGGCTGGGCCAGTGCCTACCGGCGGAGCGGGGGCTCCGCGCTCCGGGGCCGCCGGCGAGCGGCTGCTCGCGGGGTCCGGGGAAAGGAGCTCTCCAGCGGGGGAGCGGCTGCCGGAGCGTCCCGGGGAGGGACGGGCCGATCCCCGGCGGGGTCCCGGCACTGCCCGGCCATCCCCAACGGAGCCGGAGCCGCAAGCGGGTGTGAGCGCGGGTGCCGAGCCGGGTCCACCCCCGCTCGGCCGCGGCGCGGAGGGGCCGCGCTCCGCCCCCGCCTCCGCCCCGCGCAACTTCCCCGCGCCGCGGCCCCCCGCCCCCGCCCCGCGGGTGCGCGCAGAGACGCGCGCGCGCCCAGCCCCGCCGCGCCGAGCCGAGCCGAGCCGAGCCGAGCCCCGGTGAACCGCACCGCGCCGAGCCGAGCGGAGCCGCACCGAGCCGCGCATGGGGCGCGCAGCCTCCGCGGGCGCGCAGCTGCCCCGCCGGCGCTGAGGAGCCGGAGCACCGGAGCACAGACCCCCCGTCCTCGCCGCCGCCGCTGAGCGCCGCCGGGCATGCCCGCCCCGCCGGCCGCCGCCTGCCCCGCCGCTGAGCGCCGCCGCGGGCGCGGGGCGGCGCGCCCGGATGGAGCGCTGAGGCGCTGAGCCCCGCCGGGCCGGGCCGGGCCGAGACGTGACGATGTGGATGCGACGGCTCCCGGGAAGCAGGTAGGAGCGGGGAGCGATGGCCCCGCCGGGCAGCGCTTAGGGCATCCCGCCGCCGGGCGCGCTCGGGGAGCGGCGGAGTTAAACCGTGAACTTGGAGAGGGCTGGGGAGCGGAGCGGGGTGCGGGATGGATGGAGAGCGGTGTGTGGAGCGGAGCGGGGAGCGCACGGTGCAGCCCGGGGAGGCGGCCGGTCCGCGCTCCGCGCCGTGCCGGGCTCCCCCCACCCGGTTCCCCCGCCCCGCTCGCCCGCCCTGCCCAGGAGATGGAGCCGCGGTCAGCGTCCCCTCGCCGGCTGCTCGCTCCCCTCTGGCCGCCCCGGCGGGGGCTGCTCGGGGGAAGGGGCTGGGGGGGCGTCCGGGGTGCGGGCAGATGGATGGATAGACGGATGGATGGATGAAGGGATGGACGGATAGATGGATGGATGTGTTTGGGAGATTAATCGAGAATTGCCAAGCAGAGGAGACGGAGGCAAAGTGTTACGTAACACATTTTCATTACCGCTGCGAAGTCATCTGAGCCGAAATCTTGTTATTTCCATGGTGCTGTGACTGGAAAGCCCTGGCCCCGGCCCCTGCTTGTGTGCGGCCCCGGAGCCCCAGCAGTACCTGGGTTTTGGTGCTTTGAGCCCATCTCAGTGGCATCGAGTGCAAGCAGCAGCGGGTTAAGCAAGTGAGACCCTAAGGAAAAGTGAAATCCACGATCTGTTTTGTTCTCCCCAACTCGATTTTTTATTTGGAAAGCCCTGGCTTTGAGCGGTTGTGTCGGGCAGGGGTCAAACCCCAAACGTCCCTCCACCGAGCGGGACGGTGGCTCCGGCACATCACCTGCTGCTGGGGACAGGGGTCCCAAGGCGAGCAGTCCCGAGCGGCCACCCCACTCCCGCCGCTCGCAGCGGGCCCTGTGGCTGCTCCCGGGGGAGCAGGGCTGCGTGGGCAGGGGAGTTGCGGGGTGAGCGGATGGTGGGTGCAGCACCGTCAGCCCGCGCCGCCCCCCGCGCCCCTGCGCTCCGGCAGAGCGCGGCTGCAGCCTGGGGGCACGGAGGGAGGCAGGCAGGGCCCCCCGAATGCACCATGGACAGCGAGTGGTGATGCAAGGAGCCTTTGTCCGCCAGCCGTGGGAATCGCTGCTGGAGGCTTTGTCCCTCTGTCCGGGCTGTGCATGGAGTCCTGGAGGGCGAAACCTGAACTGGGGTTTTGTCTGTGCTGAGCAGCTGGGGGAGGCCCTTGGCCTCTCTCTCTCACACTCCCGTGCCGCGCCGCATCTTCCAGAGGCACGTGGCGAGCTGGCTGCCAATGCCCCCCTCCTTTGTCCCGTGCCTCTGGCTGGTGCCCCCCGACAGCCCGGGCACACGAGCACCTTCACGCTGCCGCTGGGGATGTCCGTCTGTCCGTCCGTCAGCCGAGGATGCCCTGCTGCGTGTGGGAAGGACAGAGTCTGTGGTGATGTAGTGACCTTAGGAATTCCTCCCGGCGAAAGCACCCGAGGGTTTTCTCAGGGTGCCACGCGTTTGGATTTATTTCGTGTCAGGTGAAAGCCCAGTGGAGCTGGAGGGCCGCTTCCCGAGGCTGGCGCGGCAGAAAGCTGTAATCCTGGGAACAGAGGACGCCCTCTGCTTTGTTATTTTTGAGGAGAGTTTAGCAATGGAAACAGGAGCCCTCTGCTTGCTTCCCTCCTCGATTCATTCGCCTTGCGAATTTCTGTGCTATGCATCCTGGATCCCCAGCACCAGGCTGTCCTTTCTGCCACCTCATCAGCTTCCAGTCCCTCCGTGTTTTATTTTTAATAAGAGATAACTTTACTGCTAACCTTGCCTGCTGCTCTCCCTTCTCTCTTACTCTAATTGCTTCTGGCTTTATTTCTGACATTTCCCATGTCATTTCTCCTCATTTTCTCCAAGACTACTAGAAAAATAGCTTCGGGAGGAGCAGCGGAGCTTTGCAGCGCCCGTTTCACCCCGCGCAGCCTGTGCCTGGAGCGGCTGCCTGCGGCGGGGAGATGGTACCGTGCTGCTCCTTTCAAGTCGGATCCCTCTCGCCCGGGGCGGTGGCAATGCCTGACCTCGCGGTGAGCTGCCGGGGAGGGCAGGACCCGTGTGCAATTGCATTCTCAGAATTATTCGGTGAAGGGAAGCTTCGTCTCTCCTATTTGGAGCGGGGCACAGCGAGCAGTGCTGCCCTGAAAGCCCCTGCGAGGTCCCAGCGATGCTCCAGCCCCGCTCTGCTCTTGGCAGGTGTGGGTGTTGCGGGGCAAAATCTGTTCTTTTTGGGAGGTGGCAGTGGCTCTGTCACTTCCCTGAGTGTGCACAGACATACGTGTGCGTGCACACGCCTGCGTCAGTGCCTGCGCCCGCCTGCGAGGGCACGGCAGCTCTCTGCAGCGTGCCAGGCTTCCAGAGCTGCCGAGGACTTCCCCTCCATAGCTATGAATATAATGTTTTAAACAATATGCCACGGTTTTTACAGCGCTGAGCTCTGGAGTGATTTGCAGTAGGAGTAAAAACCACCGTTCGCAATTTCTCGGCGATTGTATAAAGCAACTCATTAAAAGCATACATCCCTGCACATTGGCTCCGTGGAAACTTTATGGGCCTTGTAGTTACTGCCAAAGCAAACATTTTCCATGAATTTCACTCATCGGGTTCACACTGTCAAATGTAGATTCAGCCGCTCGTCAAAGATGCAAGCCTTGCAGTCTGGGAAGTAATGAGAGCAGTAAGCAGTGGGAGTTAATGGCCTCCACTGAGGAGTCCTTACTCATCCTGCATCCACACAGGGGCTGAGCTTGCTGCTCCCGGGTGGATTGATTGTCACAGAAATTCATCTGGTGTCACCGGCTATGATACTTAACAGGCACAATAATGCTTGAATAAACTGCACTTTTATGCAGCGATTTGCACCTCCGTGCTGGCAGCAATTTCCCAGATGAGGCGAGGGGAGCGGCGCTTCCCAGGGTGTGAATAATTGTTCTAATAACAGCAGAGCCTTGTCGTGGTGGTGTCTCCAGTGGGGTGGCAGGTGGGAGTTGTCGTGGTGCTGCTGGGGTGTTTGGGGGCTGTCCCGTGTGGCAGCTGCTGTGCCAGCCTTGGGCAGGCGGGACAGGGACGGGCAAGCTGCCGGCCCAGCTGCTCCCGCGGCCGGAGCACCACGGCTTGGCCCTGCTGTGCATCGTGGTCATCTGCTGGAAAGAAGGGGTTGATAATGTCCCTTCAGAGCCCAGACTGAAAACAGGAAAGGCAGCCAGGCAGAGGATAGATCTCCAACTGTGTTTCCACCTTCCCTCACCCAATGTGATCCTCAGGCTGTCCCAGCGTGCCGTATTTACCTCGGTATCTGTAGGTATGGATGGATGCAGGCTCCCAAGGGCAGCTCCATAGGGTGTGAATAAGCAACAGAACCTCCAGCAGGCCTGAGGTTTATTATGAAAATGTATGCATGCCTAAGCTTTTAAATATAGCTAATGGGAGAAGGACTGGGAGGAAAGATTACTGGAAGCTCAGTGTGCTGAGCAGGAGCTGCTCTGCTCTGGGTTGTGGTGCCTGTTGTTCTCCTGGAGGGCTGGTGGTGACCAAGCGGGCAACAGCAGTTCAAGCCCAATGGAGTTTGGGTTTGATAGCAACACTCTTCCAGCAGGATAATTCCTGGAGGCTGAGTGTGTTGGGTGGGATCAGTGGATGGTGTGACATTGTTGGCGCTTTCACCCCCTCCTTTAAAAAAAAAGAGGTTTTACTTCTGTTCTTCCTTCCATCTTTCCTCCCTCCCATTTTCTTTCCCTCCCACATTGGGTGGTGCTGCTGGGAGAGGGCTCCTCTGCCAGCATCCCAGCAGTCACCGTGGGTTATGTGGGGCTATTCCCAAATCTACTGCTTGGCCCTTCCTTGCCTTGGCTCACTGTTTTCATCAGAGTGATTTTTTTCACTTATAAAAAACCATTAAACTCTGGACCTGAAGTGACTCCTTAAAAATGGAATTTGAATCGATATGAATATTTCCTGTGGCTCTTCTTTACTGGGACTTGCACCTACAGACTTTGATAGCTTATATAATTTCCTGTGATGGAGATGTACTTCATCTAATTTCACTTGGAAATGCATTGATTAAATCAGAACTGCTGAGAGATTTAAACTGAGTCTCAGTGGCCTGAACTTAACCGTGGGAGGTTTACCTGCCTTCATCCTTCAACATTAATTTGGTTTTATGAGGATTCCTTGTGAAATGAGCTTTTGTCTGCTGCTGAATCTCTTCTGCTTTGTGGGTTTATCAGTTACTTTCTCCGGCCTCAGCAGCTCTGCAAGGCGAAGCTGCACTAAAGCCTCCATTCAGTGCAGCACTGAGCTCCTTCACTGGGGACACGGTGGGGACTGATGAGCATTTTGGCTCCATCACCCTCCAGCGCTCCCAAAACTCTGCCCAAGCTGGAGGCAGAGTGCCCACACTGCCTGTGGTGTGGTGGCAGGGCTGGGTGCTGTGCTCACATGGGTGCTGGGTGTGATGCTCTAGGAGCAGGGTGGGGACCTGCCCCAGGTACAGCTGTGTGGGAGTGTCCTCCCATCAGTGCTGAGAGATTTGGCATTTATGGTCCCAAGCAACGCTCAGAAAAGGAGGAACAACCCAGCTTGTTTGGAGGTGGATGAGCAGCTCCATGGAGATGAGCAGGGGTGGGGTCAGCAGGCGCTGGGTGCCTGGGGCAGGGGGCCAAACACCCACTGGGACTCGCCTGAGGACTTTATGGAAATAAATAAATCCAGTCATTCACAAAGTGCTCATTTCCAACTCCGATCTGCAAAATGTCTCCTTGTGACTTGGAAATGATGTGTAGGCAGGAGATACGCTTTGACATGCGATGATTTTTGTTGAAGTTTGCTCTGAAGGTCTTTCTCAGCAGCTCCGCTTCCCTGGCGGTGCTGGAGCATCCCAGGGGCACTGTGTCCCCGCTGCCAGTGGCTGCTGTGTCCCCATGAGCCAGAGCCATTGGGAGCAGAAGCTGTTCCCTGGCAGAGCATCT